GTCATCCTAAGGAGTCTGAATGTATTCCTCTGAAGAGTATTCGTAGAAGCAGTGTACTTCAGCTTGTATATTTTGGTAAATCGTATCTTAGAATTGTTCATACGCAGGATGTGCAGTAACTAGACAGATGGCGCAGACAAATTGAATTATTCTACGAATGCTTTAAACATTTTATAGTTGCGGCTGTGATGTTAACATTGCTCTAATCTGTTGCGCTATTATGTATTTTTCACAGCTTTGGCTTCAACACACTCACAAATTTTAATTTTATTTACAAATTTGTCAATTTTATTTAATTTTTCGGTCAGCGATGCCAGTGACATGTTTGTATCCTGCAGCGTCCCTATAGCGACGCCCTTAGACGAAACAAGCTCATACTCGTCTAACTAAAAAATGACAGTAGAAAAGTTGAAGTACTCTCATCTTCGGACACATATTTGTATTGCAATTTCTATATATGTTTTCTTGGTTTGTTTGTTTGCTTTTTATAGATGGGGTATATGAAAAATTCTGGTTTCATATCCTGAAATTAATAATAATAATCAATGTTCATTCACAGTGGAATTATCTTGAATATTAGCCAAAAATGCAATGAGACTTAACCAGTTTCCGCACATATATATGTAAAATGCATTGTAAAATAAACAACTGATAAATTCACATTTACATCTTAATTTATTTCTTTATTCATGAACGTGTTTTTACGTGATGCAATTAAAACATTCGGTTATTCAACTTCAGTCAACAATACAGTCCACAGGTCCCATGTGCCCTAGAACGGAAGTATATGCGGTATAAATTGATTATACATAAAATGAATTTCACTGCTGAACTATGTCAGCATGTTGTTTGCGAGTTATGGTAAAACAAATACGACTACCCATATTTACTAGTATGAGGTGGCCATCTTGACTCGGACCAAAAAAAACAGTTACGCTGTGAAACGCAAGTTTCGGGTTATTACAAAACGGTGAAACTATCCCAGGTTTTCCCAGTAGGTTAATTTGTTTGTGTAACATAAAGCCACGTGCACACGAACACTTCATCAGGTACGGAACCTAGAAGGATTTACCGTTTTGTAGGAACCTGAATCTTGCGTTTCATAACTTAATAACGTGGTTTAGGTATCAATGTAGCCACCCCACATAATGAATGTAATTACATTAGTCACATTCATTTCACTATCACTCGAACTGCATTTTTTTTGGACATGTACCAAACAAGGTTTCACTTCAATTCTCGTCACCTCTTCTCTACCTACTCAATTCATGTGCCGTGTAGTGCGCCACACGTGGTGGAATGGGGGAAATGTGTATTCCGAGGATTTGTACACAATTCACGAGAAACTTGAGTAAATTTTGTTAACACGTGTATTTTTAAAAATAGTAAAATATGTTTTTCATGGGTCTCATTGTTGATGTATTGAATTAAATTGAAACGAAAAATGCCATCATCGGCTCATTTATTTATTTCCTCTTCTGAAGACGAGAATTAAAGCCTGTCTGTGCTTGATCTAATAGGAGTAGTTTATTGAAACAAAATATATTGGATGTTTTGAGTGCAATGGGTGCTGCGTACAACCCCCATTGTATAGTTTCAACACGTTTTTGTAATTTTATTATTTTTCGTTATCTATTGAAGTATATGGGTAATCTTAGTTAAGTTGCCACAGTTTGTTAATAAACGTGATTACTGGAGATACATTTATCACAAAACTCCAATATTGTCATGAAAATCCAGACATGCGAATTTGATGGATGGCCAAGATACTAATATCGAGGATACCCCATGGTAGCGCCCTCTACTATCGTCAATTTACAAATTTCATTTTTTTTAAAATTTTCTTACCATGTTCAATTTGCGCCTGGTGACACATTTTGTAGTATTTCCCATTGGTTTTAATTTTCGCCAGTGCATCATCGAACCATTTTAACAGACCACTGTCTTTGCGTGTCATTGCACGAAGCTGTCCATCGAGTCCACAAGTCAAATGAGCCAGCAACTTCGAACCGGCCTCCTGTTGTGTATGAACCGACGCTTAGGTTTAGGATAAATACAGCATCAAGCTGAGAGAAAAAAAAAGGTCATCAGTAAATAATGCCAAGAAATTGCATTCTTGCGAAATTCGACCTATTATAAGAACGATGTAAAAAATTATGTAAAAAGTAATTATGTTCATATCATCTGTATATTGGAGAAAGCACACTCACCAAAAAAATGTTAAATTGTAAAATTGTAGGTACAACAATTATAAAATAATACAATTTGTAATTTTATACGATAACTATAGTATTTGGGCAGAATCCTTATAATGAATATACTCAGATTTGATATATTTTGTAATAGAAGGATACACACGTTATACTACTAATGCCGTTTTATAGTAGCATGGAACTATGACACAGTGTATGTGCATAATATCATCGTTTGTTATGCGACATTTGACCAACTTTCAAAAAATTTTTGACTAAATCGAAAATTCTACCATAATATCCAAGATTGCGATTGAATGACCACTACTGATATAGGCAAAGTCCTGTAATTCTCAGTGGACTTTGGAGGAAAACGACCGCCAATATTTCCCTGGGATTAAGGAAGTTATCTTGTTCGCTGTTCCAAAATCACCAGTGGGCACAATCGATGGAAGAGAGTAGAACGCTATCTTAAGATCAAGTATTGATTTTTTTAATTAGACATCCAACGCAAATGCCGCCGAGTTCCCGTTGAGCGCGAGAGTAACGAGACTTACCGTTGCCTCTTAAATAGTATTGTATTCTCTTACGTCATTGCATTCACTGTTGTCATGATCTGTTTATACCTCCATGATCTGTGAAACCATGGTTCAGGAACGATGGACGTGTTGGAATGAGAGAACGGGCACTATTTGTCAGTCAAAGCCAAGTCTCGTGGCATTCTCGCTCCCAACGAGATCTAGGCGGCCATTTGAGTCTAGCTTGGTTCTGTTGAATTGAACTTAACTTATGTACAATACTATTCGATCTCACAATGTTAAATACTCACCTCGTCGTTTTCAAGTGCACTGAACAACATATCAACCCTATCGTATATGTAAACATTGGCAGGTGTGGCCATGGTAAGTCCAGAATTCTCGAGGCAGGTAAGGTCACTCACGACGCCACTCAGGAATCCTAAAAGTGGAGCAAATATAATGGCGAACCTTGAAGTACAATTGTTTTATTGCAATATTTGTTATGCATTTGTTTCTATGGTGGCGCTGTACCTTGAATTCGGTTTGAATGATGTCATTCGAGACACATGATGTCATACCAAACGTGTGACGTCATTCCCGACGTATGGATCGAATTGTACCCTATATATTGTTGTTACAAGAAATATTTAATCGTAAATACCAAAAACATTACTCAAGTCGTTCATATTTACTAGAAAGAATAATATCAATTATAATTCGTATAAACCATTTACAAATTAGTCTGTAATGCATTGAGTTAATATTTCACTCACCGATTTTTTTTCCTTCAATGTTACTCGCTTCAAAATTGCCAGGATTTCCAGACTTTACAAAAAAATGGCTTGGAGTGTCCAACTGCCAAAATCCGTCCGTGAAGGATACCGAATGTAGACGTTCAGGTGTCTTCAACCAGGCCAAACAAGCATCGTAGTTTCGGTTTAGTAATCCTAGTTATTAAATTATTAATATACAATAATATATATATATATATATATATATATATATATATATATATATATATATATATATATATATATATATATATATATATATACATATAACATTACGTAGCATACAACTAATCAAAGTATGGAAAATCTCACCCAGTTACATTAGACTACCGGGTGACTATACTGATCTGTAATCACATGACCGTGTATATAAGGCGTGCCCTCTAATGACGAAGCGTTTCTGTGATGTCAAAATGCAAAATGAGGAAGGCATTGTCGTAAAAGAACAACTGTGTAGTTACGTATCATTTCACCTTTTTATTTTGTATTGTCGAATGAATACAGAAAACGACGCTGTAAAAAGCATATATTCATTTACTGAATTTACTTTTTAATACGTCGCTAGAGGGCGCGACGTATAAGAGAAGGGTATTTTTAGAACAGTTTGTGTTTAATGTTAACGGGTTGATGAAATCATTTCATATTCGTATAATAATATATTGCTTGGACTTACCTTCCCCAGTCCTGGGATGGTCCCCTCTAATGTGAGTATAACATCGCGACAGTGAATCGTACACGAGCTCGCAATTCTTACCAGCCTCCTCGCAAACTGTTGAACAATGACACACTTAAATGGTGAAACGAGATATATTGTGGTGCAATGTGGAACAGTACAGTACAGTATAGTACAGCACAGTACAGTGCAGAGTAGCAGAGTGCAGGGTAGTGTAGTGTAGTGCAGCGCGGCGCAGTGCAGTGCAGTGCAATGTAATGCGGTGTAGTATAGTGCAGTGCAGTGCAATGTAGGGTAGGATAGGATAGGGTAGGACAGAATGAGATAGGATAGGTTAGGGTAGGGTAGGGTAGCGTAGCGTAGCGTAGCGTTTTGATGATATTCGACACTTACCTGCCATAACGAGGTCATAAAAAAACCCTTTAATTTCACCATTTTTGTTACTAAAGTGAGGAAATCGGAACTACGTCAATATGTGGTACATAATACAATATGCATTGGATACAACGTCAAAGAGCAACATGCAATACGGATGTCATCCGTTACTATCCATACTTATTATACATATATAATATACTATTATATTAGGGTGTGCATTTGTACATGTGTCTATTTATATTAGGACATTTACGAAAGATAATTGTCCCCACAATTTTGATTATTATACATTTCTAGTAGAGTTAGTATTTGTTTTTTTGCTTTTACCATAACCACAGTTATATTTGTGTGCACGACTATAGAGTATATAGTAATACGTACACGTATTCGAGTGCACACTGACAACCAACGCTGGCCGCAAAGAGGTACACCTTGTCATATTCCTGTCTCGACTGCATACCGTCTGTGAACACCGTTTCCACATAGGGGCTACTTCACGGAATAACATGATTGAACGAAACAGCTGTTGTTGGTGCTGAAATTGAAATATGGTTTCAAGCTGAGTTTACGAATAGAAATATTCCATGTATTTTTTTCATCCAAGAATACGTTTTACGCGTAATAAATCGAGTCCTCATAATGACAATATCTCGATCACACTATGTCATGGGTTGGAAGAACATTTTTAAATCACGTGTACACTGTAATAATAGTGTCTGTATCACGTGGTATTTTCAACCGAGTACGTCATTCATTCTGTTGACTCGTTTGTGGCCAGTCGTGCAATAATCACTAATGCTCCAAATATCTATTTACCACACTATTAAATGTGTTTAAATTTAAACATCTAACAATTCTAAAAACAATAACTGCTACATATGCATTCGTTTGCATGTATATACGAAAGAATGACCGTGCGTGACGTCAATAAACTTCGAACGAAGTTATAATTTGCTTACGCAATCGGATAGAATATCACTTGCACCAAAGACCCGCGGCGGCATTTAGTCTACCGGCTATATGCTATTACAACATTTTATATCTTATTGGTGACATAAAGTTATCCACATATAAGGAAAAAACATGCAAATAGTATTACTTACCGTGTACGCCTCATTGCTCTTGCCATTTGCAACTACAAATAAAAACAAAAGTTAACAATATCATGGCTGTAATCGCGAGAGGGCGTTTTTTCATTTTGCAGTTGTTCATGACTGCAGATTTGGTAGTGGAGCAGATAATTCTCTGTTAGACTCAACTGATTGACCCGGGGTCACGTGTGACCTTTATGAGTCCCCCAATACCAGGACCTGTTAGTTATATGTGTCGTGTACAAGTCCGATTTCTACAAAGATATCATATCAAAACATACCGTGCCGCGATATCAGCATGCCTTCATTGATCACTTGAGAATTAATTGCAGCGTGTCATCGTCGCCCAGTCAATCTAAAATACGTTTGCACTGTGTGTGATTGTACTTAGGTCAAGCAGTATCAGTGGACTTTGAAAAGTATACACAGACATGCTTGTTTTAGTAGAAACTTCATCTTACTCTAGAATGTACCATCTAACTATCTCTACACAAGAACATGCGTCTTTTCCGGCACACTACTAGACTAATTTATTTCATGACTAGCACATTGTATTAAACTATTTTACTCAATAAATCGGTCCTTGTCGAGGGCTTAAGGGGTAAACACTGTTTTTGTAATGATCACGTAAACAAATTCTATTTGGCGATTTCCATGTTATACGTGTAAAACACTAAATTGGCCTGTCAAATCAATATCCCAATACACGACTGAAGCTAAAATACTAGTACATGAGTAACACTATACACCATTCTAAATTATTTACAACACAGTGTAGAATATCATAAATACTCCTAATGTGCTGGCACTCATTATTAAATAATAAAGGCTTCATTTGTGGGCTAAGAATAATCCAATAACTTGCATTTCATGTGCAAGTTCTGTGGCAGTTGTAAATAACGCTAGAAACGTCCTTGAACGAGGATGAACATTCGAAGTGGCGAGCACTGTCGTATGCTATGACAAGTTCGAATATTGGATATGTACTTACTATGTGCGAGTGAGATTATGCATATACACACTATGATTGTCAAACGACCCATAGGTTGTTGATCCAGCAGAATCAGCTAATAGCAAGGGAGAATAATTACCGTCGGTAACTTCTTTTTGTTCGCTGTCAAAGCGCCACCTATCGTCTACACGTTGTATATAGAATTTAGTTACGTCTGCAATGACATTGATAGCAGCCGTTTGTAGCCAACCAGTCACAGCGCAAAGTGGCACAGCCTTGTCAATCGATTAATATAATATGTTGTAATGTATATGTTGACATATTATTATTTTAATTTCTTGAATAAGAAATATTTGTGAATTTAGTAACCGAGTTGCACGACAGGTATACCCGGTATACAAGTTGAGGGCATTCTTTCGTGGAGTGAACCGTAATAGGGGTATAGCAATCTGTATATAAATCTTCAACATTGACCTTTACTGATATGTCTACAGGCGATAACTTCAACATATGTCCAAGGATGATTGTATTTTTGATAGATTTAATGCAAGGATTATTTACCTAAACAATCCTTGTGATAACGTGTACATACTACATCGTTTCGCGTAGTCAACATTAATCGACCCACGGAGTATTCGACACTAAATCTATACTACTGCAATAAGGAACTGTGACATTGAATGTGTCTTTCAGACGACGACTTCAAGCACCAGACCGGGTTAATTCGGGTATATTTAGTTTGCTCAAATCAAAATTAGTGGTAAACCGCACAGTACTTCTCGGTTGGGAATTCGGATATTACAGCATTTTGAATATGACAGGATTCAATTCGATGTGAAATTGAACGCTCATGCTTCTACGCCTTTTTTATTAGTCGCGCCCTCTAGCGGCAAAACATCGCTGGACGCCACTATGACGTAGACGGGTTTAAGCAATGTCGTTCAAAACAATAACTCTTTTTTGTAAATATGTAGGATATTGCCAATCGCGTTGCCAGGTACAACTTTTTGGCATATTCCGCCATTACTTTTCATTAATCGTTGATGCAATTGAAATCTCGTTCCACGATCACCAAATTACAGACAATTAGCTTTCTTGTCACCAAATTTTTACCACAAATAAACAGGAATGTTATATAAAAAAAAAAATCGAATAATGTGCCCGCCGGAATACTAAATTCAAAGATTTGTCGGGGCTCGCGCAGTGTTAGACACATCTTTTGATTCTTTCAGAGCACACGATTTGGTAGAAAGTTTTTAGATCACAAATGTTTCTTTCAACAGTAGCCTTTGTGAAAACCTGTATAGTTGTACCGAGTGGCACCACGAGATAAAAAAAATACAGCTTATACGTTTAACTAAACAGAGAGAAACTCATTTTATTTAATTTCCACATTCAAAATTAACGAGGAAACAATATTAGAAAGTTCGTAAGATGCAACCAATACGCATAAAAGTAACATACATCAAACCACAGTCCCTTCACAAGAGACTGTGATCAAACACATCTGATTTTTCCTTTGTGACCTGAAATACAATGATAAAATTATTATTTAATAACAATTATATATTTTCCATATTGGAAACGACGAAGAACGACCACAGGGACGATTCAATGTTAATGTGAGTTCGAGGATTGTTGTTAAAGAGCGGTGGTCGTCGCGCCGCGTCCTGTTCGATATGGGACTCATAGCGACGTCTACAACGCGTGTAAAATACATTGTTTGTTTACATGAAATTCGATCACGCGCTGCGTGACGACCACCGCGCTTTAATATATTCAGAGACGTTGTACGCTGCAACGTACAACATACGTACTATTTTCGTAACTATTATCGTTATATAATCACAATTTGTTTTAGTTTGTAAACAAATATTGCCACTAACGGTTGTTAGTTTGTTTCAAAGGCAGTATCCGAGAGTGTTTTCTGTACAAACTAACCGTGTTTAGCAACAGCTTCGTGACAGAGTTTATGGTACTGTCCCGTCCGCTTCATTAACCGCAAGGTAGGATTGAACCAAGAGAGTAGAGAGCTGTCCTTCCGCGTCATAAAATGGGAAGTCGATTGGATACCACATTCTACACCTACGCCTAGGACATCGAAACCATTCTCAGTCACCCCATATGCGGCAACGGCAAAAAGAAAGGCTGCATCAATCTAAAACGAGATATATAATACTGTTTCATCATGCAAATAAACTATTTTCCGCGAGATCCCGTGTTATGCGTGAAATCAAACGTAAAAACAGAATATGGCGTGGGATTCGACATTTGTTTGGGTATTTCCACGCTCAATAATGTTCTATGTACCCTTGTTGATGGTCAATTTTGATAAAGTAAGTTCATCTCAACGCGATATTCCTTTCTCAAAGATTCTACAATTCAATGGCAATTCTACATTAAACTATATAAAGAAAAAAACGAACTGAAAACAAATCCTCCACGCATTACGCGAGACTTGGCCGGGAGCGGAAGACCACCCGATATTTTCGATATCGCTGTTTTATGCACGGTATTTGGTGTTTTAACACCATTGGACGTTAAGTTACAAACATATACACCTGCTTGTAGATTATTGTTTAGAAACTATTTTTTATAAAGCTTTTGAATATATATACCGGGAATGTCATGTATTCAGCTAATGAAAAGCTAAATAAATGACAATTTATATACAAAATTTAAGGTAAAACCACTTCCTACATACAAATACTCTTTTCAACTGAGGACTTCCAAAGTAATTGCACTAACATACTTAAATGCATTGCAATGTGTGCATATCATACCTCCCCACTGGCCACTGCGTCGAACATAGACTTCCTGTTCTTGAAATATACTGCCTTCCCTGGATCTAACTTTGCAGCTCCGTCGATCCAATTTCTCCCATGCGATAGACAAGCTTCATCACTGACCCATCCATCCATAAAACCTGAACAGTAATAATGATCAATAAAAAACAACAACTTGTTTCTCTCGCTCATAGTTTATTATTCGTTAATGTAACATCAAATTCGGTTTGATGCGTACATTAACAATTACTTTACGTGCGAATTACTTCGTGGTTATTCTTGTGTGTGTAATTTGATAATCAACATTCCGTATGTATGAACAATTTTAAATTGTTGCTATATTTTGGTTCAAATTGCATTTTTGATATCGCAAATACCTACTTCCTTTTATAGCGTTTAATTATACGCAAATCAAAGTTATTGAATAACATTTGCTTATTAAGAGGGTCTTTTCAGCTAAATCCTTGTATCTGATGCGCTATGAATGTTGAGAATGATGTTTGCTGTTTCATAACGCCGTGGAGACAATCAGCTGGTCGGTGAGAACGTGCTTGCAAACGGCCGACGATTAAGACTGTAAATAGGCGTAATCATCAAGTATAATGACGTCATCTATGTGTACAATAATAAAAACGAATGATCAAACCTATGGTTTTCCCGGTGATATTAGCTGGATCGAAGTTGTCGTGATTTCCATCCCTGACAAAGAATCTGGACGTTGTGTTCTGTTGCCAGTAGGATTCCGTGAAAGCCACACAGTGTTCACGTTCACGCGTACGTACATATGTTGTACACGCATCATACTGCCTACCCAATAGTCCTGTAAACAAGAAAAGACCGAGTATGTTAACAACGATTAGCGTCAAATGCGTAGGAAATTATACTGAAATTATCATGATTGAATTCCAATCCCGACCGACTCCTACCAGCACCGACCGACTCCTGACCTCTAACGTAGAATACCTACAAAAGTAAACATTCACCACCTTATAGGTTAAATGCAAGGCCAACAACGCAAACTGACAAGTATATTATATATAGTACATGAGAAATTTCGATTTTCATGTCTACTTTTCTTGAATGTATTTTTTTTTCTTAATTTAATGTTTCGTTATTGTACCTAAACGAAACAAATGAAACACTGGACAATACTTCACGCGCCAGTTCGAATCAAAGTTTGACCTGGGAGATATTTAAGTAAAGCGGAATACCCATTTCCATTTCCACATGCATACACTGCAGTTTATGTTCATAGTAACAATTCAGCGCACGAATATTAGTTATTGTGTGACCAAACTGCTGAACCTAGACATATCTCCTTTTTTCTGAATATTACCATCTTAGTACATCAGTCCTAGTCGGTAATAGACTTGTTGGGTGTCGATAACACATTGTGGGCTGTTAACCTTGTACTTAACACCTACGGCAAACTGCAATGATAGCAGTGTTAACGAACTTTACAGTTTACAACGAACTTTGTGTATAGAGGACGAATAGTTTCACACAAATAAAGTCACTGCAGGAAACCCCTCGAATAACGGACTCAACGAACGAGTTAATGACAATTATGAAATTATATAACTTTGGACGAAACATACTTAGTCAACAGTTATGATGTGCATGGATATGGGATATATATTTAACAATTAGATTATTATTCCACAACTGTATTCAAGTTCTATAATATACAATAAATCGCTTATTTTATCCCAGAATTCCAGCAGTGTAGGAAAGACATACTGAATGGCGCTGTAGCATATTTTGAAAACATCCATGACTTTATCATCAAAAGATTGGAAAATATATGTGAGATATAAATATTATATAAATTATCATATTTATAATTCGATATTCGTGATAGAATAGGCAAGCCTGAAGAAGAAAATTCAACATTTAACTTTTTCTCTGTCTCTGGTGTACACATCATAATGACATGATTTCCACAAATCTTGCTATACATACCGTCTCCGGCCACGGAATGCAATCCTGCTTCGTGTCTGTAACATTTATATGGTGCATCATGTTGAACTATACACTTTTTTCCAGCCAACTTACAAACTACGAAAACATAAAAAAAAACAAATAAAACAAACATTTTTTTTAGTTTTATATATAGATTAAATTTATTTTCAACAAAACAGAAATCTTTAAATTTAGAGCAGTTGTCCTACCTTCGTTTATAAGATCTATTGCAAATCCTTTCAATTCGCCATCCTCAGCGCTGTAGAGCAACAGGAAAATTAATTATTAGTTGTATACCCGATTTACAAACACTAATAGGGCTTACCGAGTAGCCATGCTATTATGATATAACTTGTAAACCATTACTATTAACAACATTTAACATAAGATTATACTTATAGTAGAATATGTTATAATAATTCGTCTATATCAATTAAAGATGTACCTGGATGTAATACTTTATGAATATATCATTTCAATGAAACAAACAAACAATCAAACAAACAAACAAACAAACAAAGTTAAAGAGTGACGATCAAGAGACCTCTCTTGCCTTTACTGCATTATGATAATGATAATGATGATGATGATGGTGACGATGATGATGATGATGATGATGATGATGATGATGATGATGATGATGATGATGATGATGATGATGATGATGATGATGATGCAATATTTACGCATCGTTTATTGACTATACAAATCAAATATTTAAACGCGTGATGTATGTAACTGTTCCGCAAACATAGCAACAGCACTGTCATTTTAATTTATTTATGACAATGGGTTTCGCGAAAATGTCATCGTACGCGGAATCGGAACAGAAACATTAACGAGCAACCTAAATACACTACGGATGCTATGTTCTATTTAAATACAATTTAGGTCAACACAATTAGATTGCAATTCTACATAGAAATGCAATTCAATTAACAAATTACAGTTTAACTCAATTCAACTCAACTGAATTAATTTAATAAATGCAATTCT